GTGTGTGTATGTCTGTGTGTGTGTGCTTGCCTGTGTGTCCGTCTTTCTGCTTTTCTTTTTTTTCTGCGCACGATCGAAATTCACTCAATCAACCCTTCTTGTTGCCTGCCCCCCCCCCCCCTTTCTTCCCCAAACGCACACTCACACGTTGTTTGCAGGGCGCTGAGGCTCAGACGCGGTGTGGCATAGCATTAGGACTGCAGACAGAAGGAATTGTGTGTGTGTGTGTGTGTGTGTGTGTGTGTGTGTGTGTGTGTGTGTGTGTGTGTGTGTGTGTGTGTGGTGTGTGTGTGTGTGTGTGTGTGTGTGTGTGTGTGTGTGTCTGTGTGTCTGTGTGTCTGTCTGTGTGTGTGTGTGTTGTCGGCGCCATTGTCACATCCATCATCGACCAGGCATGTGTCGTGCTCATCGTTGTTGGCGTTGGGTGTGCGTGCGTGCGGTTCTTGCCGTAAGTTTATCGCACGTTTGTGGAGAACAATGGCACATCAAGCGAAACAAGCAGGTTTGTGGTTCGTCGTTCGTGTTGGTCGTGGATCTCTCACTGTGTAGTTCGCCTCGCATAATGTTGTGCTTGCTTGCTCGTTTCACGCGGGGTTTGTAATGTAAAAGAGCGATGTGTTCTTGGCTCCCAGCAGCTGATGCAGCGAATCAGCCAGCGAGTGGAGCGAGTAAACATCCATGAAGTGCCTCGAACTGTCCACGCACGCAAGACCAACCGCTGCCACCACCAAGCACCACCAACCATCACCACCACACACCACGCGCGCACCCACCACGCTTGCTCCTTTTCACGGGTGTGCAAAGCATCGTATCATGTATTGGGTTCGAGAGCCTATGTACAGCGTAAGAGCGCAGCGAAAATATAAGGGAGCAAAAAGGCAGAAGAAAAAAGAGGGGAAGAGAGCAAAGCAAGGCAGGCCACACGAGGGGCTGGGTCAAATAACAAAAACCAGCCCCAGGCCGCACCGCACACACATGACGAGTACGTGCAAGCCACGCGTGACGCCAGGCAGGGAGGCAATAACAAGCCCAGACCAGAGCTGGGCTTCAAGTTAACGAGAACAAAGGCGAAAGGGGGCGGGTAGCAATGCAAGCCAATCATCACACAGAAAGCAGCAACGCAACCACGCGTCACATACGGTCATCATCACACAAATGAGGTGGAGGCAAGTGCAAGTGCGAGTGCACGTTCTGCCGCCGCCGCCCTCAATACACCACACGACAACGCCACCACGACAACGCCACCACAATCACACGCCAACGCCACCACAATCACACGCCACGCCACCACAATCACACGACAACGCCACCACAATCACACGACAACGCCACCACAATCACACGACACGCCACTAGGCCACTAGACGGCGCGTGCGAGCTGCGAGAGGTGGCGGCGGTGCACGTCGGTGATGTCGTTGTCGGCGCCGCCTGCAAAGTTGTGCCACCGCTTGGCGACCGGGGACGCGCGCTGCACGCATTCGAGCGCAGCGTCAATCGTGTCGGGCGCGTCCCACGCGCCGAGCGGGTGCTCCATGGCGCGCGCCTGGAAGGTGGGCAGCTGGCTGAGAAACGACTGCAGGCGGTCTGGGGTGAAGCTCTGGAAGGACGAGGCGACGCCGAGACCCGTGCGCTCAAACATCTCTGCGTTGAGCATCTGCTCCGAGTCTGCCGCGTCGTACATGGCCATCATGGGGATGCCCAGCCACATGCACTCCGCAATCAGGTTGTCGCCCGACGTGGCAATCACTGCGCTCGCCTCGCTCATGCTCGTGATAAAGTCCTTCTCCGTAAACGCGCGCACGTGCACATATGGCGTGTCCAGCTTCTGCGGCCCAAACGCGCGCACCTCGTAGCCGCTCTTGTTGAGCTCCTCAAAGATGTGCTGCCCGGAGCCGTGGTCGCGAAAGTAGACCACCACCATCTTCTTCGGCGGCAGCACCCGCTCCGTGCGCAGAATGGCGTCGCGCAGCCGCGGTTTTGCCACAATGGTCGTGTTGCTGTTGAGCGGCGTCAGCGGCACAAACGAGACGTCAACGGTGCACTTCGCAAGACGCGTCGTGCGGCCGTTGAGCACCTCCTGGTGGCCCCACGCATAGTCCGACACGTGGTCGGGCTTCTCCGTCGTGCTGAAGAGGTACCCGTGGCCGAGCGCAATGGCGGGGATGCCTGCACGCGACGCGCGCCACACGCCGGGGAAGTCGCCGTCGCTGATGACGAGGTCGGGCGTGTGGTGTGCCCGGTCGCAGATGGAGCAGTCCGCGTCCGTCAGGTAGCGGAACACAAAGATCTTGAGCGTCTCCCACACGCTGTGCACCGAGTTGGCAATGGGCAGCGACTTGACGCTCACTGTCTCCGCGCCCACGGTGCGCACGAGGTCTGCCACGTGGTCGTCCACAAACACGCACACCTTGTACCCAACACGCTCCAGCGCCTCAATCACCGTTTTCCCGCGCGACGCGTGCCCGCGGCCGTGGCCGTGGATGTAGTACTCCACAATGGGCGGCCGCACGTGCCCTTCAAACTGGTGCGCGCCAGCACCCTGCTTTGCTGCACACGTGTCCGACATGGACAGGTACAGCCCAACCTGCACCACTGCAAAGACGAGCGCAATCGCCAAGACCATGGCGCCAACGCGCTTGAACGTGCGCGATGTGCGCGGTGGGCCCGGGGTCTTGCCGCCACGCGGACGCCAAAACCCGCCAATCGCATGCTGCTGGTGCTGCTGGTGCTGCTGCTGGTGGTGGTGGCCCTTGGTAGAGCTGGTGCTTTGGTGCTGTCGGCGCTTGGTGTTGGCGATTCGCCAGCCGCGGGAGGGAGCAGCGCCGCTCCTGGCGTCGTGGTCGCCGTCGCGTATTCTGTCATCGGCGTCACCACCAGCGCGGTCGGTTGGTGCAGTCACGGAAGCGAAGATGGAAGCAAGCGAGAGCCAGGCTGTTGCGAGCAGGGACGGAGACGCAAACACATCGTCGGCATCGTCCGCAGCAGCGTGATGCTGGTGATGGTGGCGGCGGTGCTGTGATTCGTCAGAGGTGGACGATGATGCGGAGGTGGAGAGGCTGGATCCAGACGTGGTGGAGGTGGAAGAAGCAGCAGCGGCAGCAGCAGGTGCAGCGCTGTGGTGGTGGTGGTGGTGCCTGTGCGCGTCGCTCGACTGGCTCAGCGGTGACGCCGTGTGTTTCTGTGCAGCAGTAGTGACAGCAGCAGCAGTAGCATGCAGGGCCGATGGCGCGGACGAAGCTGCTGCTGTTGTTGCCACACCGGCGGTGCTTGAGTGAGCGGCAGGGACGGCGGCGGAGGAGGAAGAGGACGACGACTCAGGGTGGCCTGTGGATGTGTTTGAGTGGCGGCGGTGCATGGTTGGGCTGAGCGGGGCCTCGATGAGCACGGCAGAGTACGAGCCTTGCCTGCTGGGCCTGCCAGAGTGGGGCGCCACCGCGGAGGATGCTGTCGAGGAGTTGATCGAGGAGCTGCTGCTGCCATCCACGTGGATGGTGTGTGCCGGGGACTCGAGCAGCACGACGGTGGACGGGTCGTCGCGCGGGACGTCCAGCGGCCTGGTCATGGGTTGCAGGATGTCGCTGTCCTTGCGCTTGTGGCCCTTCTTCTTGTGATGGCTGTGATGGGGCGCTGCGTCTCCGGCAGCTGTTGACGATGTAGACGCGGGCGATGGGGATGCCGTGGCGTGCTCATGCGGCGCGTGGTGGGGCAGCTGGTGCTGCTGGTTGTGTTGGTGTTGGCGGAAACGCTGGGGAGTCCATGCCCATTGCCGGCGTCCAGAGGAGGTCCAGTCGAACATGGAAAAGTACATGTTCTTGAGCGGGCAAGACAGGGCCGCAACAGGGAGTTGTTGTGGTGATCGGGGGAGTGGTGCCTGGGAAAGGATGTGTGTGTGTGTGTGTGTGTTTGGAGGGGGAGGGAGGGGGAATCAACGGGAAAGTGAGTTTGATGAGGAGGAGGAGGAGCTGGCAGTTGGCGTGGGTGGGTGCTTGTCCATGTCCAAGCACTGCACGCATTGTGCGTGCTTGCGTGCATGTGGATGGTGCAGAGGGTGCGTGCTTTGGAGCGTGGGTTGGATGGGTACGTGTGTGCACATCGTGTGTTGTGCGTGCTCGTGTGTGCATGTGTGCTTGTGTGACTGTTGGGGGGGGGGGGATACTGGCAAGCAAGAGTTGCTGCGGCAGGCCTCGAAGCGGACACAACATCAATTCACAGACACGCATTCACAGACACGCACATGGACGAAGAGAGAGAGAACAAGGTGGGACACAACGTGGGTGTGTGGGTGGCCAGGAGCAAGCATATCGCCACAGCAACGAGCACACGAGGTGGTTGCTTGTGGCGGTGGTGTGGGAACCGGATACATGCATGCGCATACACACACGCACCAGTCGATGTCGCTGAACGAGGAGAAAATGGATGGGTGGAAGCGTGAGTCTTCGATGCGAGTTCACCACCAGCTCTGGCTGACGAAGAAGGAAGCAACCAAAATAGGAGGGAGAGTGATCACACCACGCTGATCAGCAGTAAGGGGGGGGGAAGAGGTCTGATGGTGATGACGACGGTCGAGGGTGATGTTGGTGTGGATGGATGGATGGGAGGAGGTGTGGTGTTGGTGCTGCTGTGTGGGTGGTGGGTGTGAAACTGGCCACGCAGCATCAGCGGGCTGGCTGCCTTGTTGCTTGCCTTCTGGCTTGGCTTGCCTGCAGATTGTGTGTCAAACAACAAACTTCGTTCCGACGGCCAGCATGCACGTCCTTGTTCTCACAGCACAACAGCAAGATGCAGCATGTCAGCTAAAAGCGGGCGCATCGAACGCCCCATTTCTTACCCAAAATGAAGAAAAACTGCATTTGTGTGAAGAAGGACTCTGCAACGACGCTGTCTGTTTGCAAATTGCTTTGCAGCAAAACTGTCCGGTTTCTAAGATATGTTGACCTAAGGGTCAATTGTATAGCTGGAGCTCAATTTTTAAGACTTGTTGATACCAAAACTACCAAAACTATGATATTTTAGCGCACGTGCGGTTTTCCACCGTTTTGCAACGCCCGCCAATGCTGGTGTCCCGACAATCTAAGACCTTCAAGGGCGGTCTGGGTATTCGCATTTAGTTTTGTCGTCTGTGTTTTGCGTTGTGTGTGTGTGTGTGTGTGTGTGTGTGTGTGTGTGTGTGTGTGTGTGTGTGTGTGTGTGTATGTGTCTGTGTGTGTGTGTGTGTGTGTGTGTGTGTGTGTGTCTCTGTGTGTGTGTGAGACAGTGTGTGTGTGTCTGAGTGTATGTCTATGTGTCCGTCTACCGTGCCGTGTGTGTGTGAATCTGCCAGAGAGATCACAACTGCCAGCGGGCTATAGCGCAAAAAATAAGAAAAACAGACCCCAATTGCTTTGCGCACATACTAATGATGGTGACTGATGAGTATATGGGTCCTCGCCACACCGGTTGAGCGAAGTTAGTGAGAAAATAGGGACATAACCAGGTTCGCTAACCGCAATAGGAGTACGAGAGAGGAGAACACACCATACGCATCGCGTTTGTCATCGGAAGAGATAATCCCACACAATCAGTGTTATCGCGCAACAGTAGCGGACAGAGAGAAGATGAGCATCACATCAGATGACCCACCCGGAACAGTTCGTTGCTTTATTGTTTTATCCACGAGGCAAGTGAGGGGCCGGGGGAGGTCATGCAAGCAGTTAGAAATAAGGAAACGAGGACCTGTACAAGTTGTGTGGGGTGCACGAAATAAATCTAGATTATGAACGAGTGACATGCGCAAAATTGGGTCCACGAGAGTTAGCCTGA